AAAAATGATCATCTGGATGGTGTGCCAGAGGTCAAAATCACACCCTGGAATGAAGGTATTGTGTACATTTTTTGTCTAACTGATTGCTGACTGTTTTTGCAGATGTCATCAGCATAGGGGATGCACACCCATTAAAGGGAGAGATTGCACTGGTCAAGGCTCCTGATGGCATGGTTTTGCACAAGGTGTCTGACAATCCTGAGTGGCAGAAGTCTCATGAAGAAGGGGATCCAGGTATGGTGGCACCTCATGCACAGAGCAGAATCCCATTTCCATCATGCAAGCGGCCTCATGAGGAGGTGACAGATAATGACACAGTTCCTCATGAGGTGAGTCAATCCACTCAACCTTTGGTGTCTACTAATGTTCCCCAAGGCTTCATGCTCTGACCACCAAATGCCCCTGCATGACAAAGGCAGGGATGCATGCCCCATTGCTGGTGACTGTGGTGTAGTGGTTTACCCTGCTGCATTTTGGTTGAAACTAACAGGTGACATGCACAGGGTGCACTTTGTGACCCACCAGCATGCACAAGCTGTGAGAACACTTGAGAGTCTGGTCGATCTGAGTGCCCCTTGCTGGCTCAGTGCTATGGGGTGAGGTCTGGACATACCAGTTGATTAAAAGACTAATGGAGGACTGCACAGGATCTGCATCGTGATGCTGTCCCAAGCCATTTGCACCTGCAGGACCCTGGCCCTTCTCAGCAGTTTCCACCATCTTGGCATTATGAGGTGAGTATCCCAGGCATTCTGCTTCTTGAAGGAGACCAATAGGATGTCCCACAGGACCCTCATTATGACCATGCCAACTATCATGATCCTGGCCCCTCCAATGTTCCCTACAATGTTCATGATTTGATCCTTCATTGTCACATTTTGTTTAGCTTCTCTATAGGTATTACTGCCCACTTGCCATGGTTTGGGGCATTTCCCTCTGTCCTGTCAGATGTATTGCATACCATCTCACCCTGACCATCATATTTACCATGATGCTCCATATATCTCTGACTACTACCCCACAGCCCAGCCCACAGCACAGCAATGGGTTGACAGAGGTAGTGCTGCACAGTATGAGGATGAATTTCCTGAGGATTACTTAGATTATTAGTCTCAGTATTTTCTTTAGAAATACATGTTTGTTTTTCTGTGATAGGGTGAGCAATGAATGAATGAAATCTCTCAGTTCTCCATCATTTTGAATGCAAGAGCATTTGTGTCTGCTTGATTGTTATTTTGTTACCTCCTGTGGCCACACTGCCATATTGCTGCTCACTTGATCTACCAATGAATTTTCTACTGATCGAAATTCTACAGGGAAGATGCATCTACTCAAAATACTGTACTCTTGTTTGAAGAGTTTGAGCTGCAGAGAGCTGGGTCAAAGGACATTTGTGGTGAAGCTTGGAGGCCACACCTACAGATAAAGGAGCCTCCAGCAATGGGGAGGGGATATGGTGACATTAAGCAAGTGGTGATGTGGTGATCACTGACTGACAACTCTCCCAGTGTCACTGTGTCCAATGGCCAGGGGCTCTGGTGAATTCTGCTGCCTGGTTTCCTGTGTACTTTATCTATATTTTATTACTGTGATCAAGTAAGTGTTTTTCCCTGGTGAGTTGAGGGAACTGAGTGGAATTCAAATGGAATTGACATGGTTATCTTGATGTTGCCCAAGTCCCTTTAATCTGAAGTACTGCTAACCTTGCCTCAACACCACTTTCAATCCTTGCTTTCCAACCTTCCCACCCCCCTCACCATGTGGAAAAACCCTACCTGTCAAACTTGAAGGAAATTGAGTTTTGAGTGTTTTTATTCCCCTCAAAATTCAGGCCATCTACCCATTATTTCAGGGCAACATCTTATGCTTACTAATCAGGTGTTGTTATCATCATCAGGATACTACAGTTCTATGTTACATGCAAGCACTGTAGAGCTGCAGAGGCTGACTTCTGGATTTATTTTGGTCTTGTCTGGGTTCTCTCATTAACATTGTCCCATGAACATTGTTCAATGCTTTTTCTAAGAGCCTATTTTTGTGTTGAGAATTAATCTACCTGCATTGCTACTAAAACAGGTCTATCTTTTATCAGACCCACTGTGTTGTTACCATTTGCAGCTGCACAATTTACCCCCATTTAATCTGTGACATTGGCCCTTCACTGTGCTCTGTGAGTTAGTATGAAAAGTAGATAACATTACCTGTGCAATATGTCAATACAGACCTGCATGGTGGATCTGGTTGTCTTGAAGCTGCCACAAAATTGATTTGAGAGCATTTTGGTATTCTGACATATGTATAGTACATGGACATCCTACTGGCCTCTATGGAGAGGGGTGGAATGTCCAACTGGCCTTCAGAGGGGGGAGTGGGATGTCCCATAGTAGCTTCCAAAGCTACCATGGGACATCCCATTGGCCTATGGAGGGGGGGGTGGGATGTCCCACAGTATCCTCCAAAGCTATCATGGGACATCCCACTGGCCTCCAGAGAGGGGGGGGGATGTCACACAGTAGCCTCCAAAGCTATCATGGGACATCCCACTGGCCTCCAGAGAGGGGGGTGGGACATCCCATAGGAGCCTCCAAAGCTATCATGGGACATCCCACTGTCTATGGAAAGGGGGTTGGGATGTCCCATAGTAGCCTCCAAAGCTATCATGGGACATCCCACTGTCTATGGAAAGGGGGTTGGGATGTCCCATAGTAGCCTCCAAAGCTATCATGGGGCATCCCACTGGCCTCCAGAGAGGAGGATGGGATGTCCCACAGTAGCCTCCAAAGCTATCATGGGACATCCCACTGGCCTCCAGAGAGGAGGGTGGGATGTCCCACAGTAGCCTCCAAAGCTATCATGGGACATCCCACTGGCCTCCAGAGAGGAGGGTGGGATGTCCCACAGTAGCCTCCAAAGCTATCATGGGACATCCCACTGGCCTCCAGAGAGGAGGGTGGGATGTCCCACAGTAGCCTCCAAAGCTATCATGGGACATCCCACTGCCTATGGAAAGGGGGTTGGGATGTCCCATAGTAGCCTCCAAAGCTATCATGGGACCTCCCACTGGCCTTCAAAAATGGGGGGTGGGATGTCCCATCATTGGCTCTTGGTTGTGCTGCATAGATGACCTTGATGAACATGTGACTAAAGGTGGGATTGAACCAGCGAGTGACTCTCCTGGGTGTTGACCTTGTGGTTTAATCACTGAGCTATATGGTTTGAGTACTAATGTCAGTTGCTTTGGGGTTAGATCAGAACTTTGGGAATAATTATCCATGAAGAGTAATACACAGAATGCACCATCTCCAACAGACTTCAGTGGTCTTTGGCAACACAAGTCCACCCTTCCTTTGAGAATCAACAAAGTTCAGTTTTCTGCCCATCCTGGCTGGATAGGTACTTGAAGCACATGGTGGTCCACTGGAGGGCCTTACAGCCCAGGGTCATAATGGGACAGTGGGGTTCTCACATGCTTGTGCCCCACAATTGTGTCATGTATTGTGCTACAATCTATTCCTTGGCTGGGAAGGTCTTCCATTCATCCTCATTCAATGCATTTAGTATGATCTTATTAATGTGTACTCCTTCTATAAGCAATGGAACTTACTCATAGGACAGTGCTGAATCTGTTAAAATTTATACATTGATGCAAGGCTCACTTCCAGAAGTATTGTATGATTCTGGAGATGACACCTCACAATTGCACTGATTTCCCACCTCAAATCTGTGTATAATAAGTGTACCAAATGGTTTTGGAAAATCAGTGGCTGCCACATACATAGGCCCCTACTTTTCCAGGTATTTTCATCATCCTGGATGATTGTGATAGCTATGGTTTCTTGGTCAAAAGTGGGATTTCAGTGTGAATATGAGCTGCACTTTTGCAGTTGAGGACCCCTGACACCTAAGGCAGCCATGGGACAGCCCAAAATATATTACCAGGGGGCTGGGATTATGGGACATCCCAGGTCCTGCACACTGCAAATAGCCCTGGGACATGGCCAGATGTCCCTGGGATGACCTGGTCTGAGTGGCTTTTAGCTTGGATGATTTGTAGAAAAACTTCAGCCTAAATGCTTATGAAAATTGGTTACCTGAAGTGGATGAGTACTGCCAGATATTGACCAACCCATCCAGCCATGATTTCAATGATGAATTGGGAAATGGCAAATTATTTCAGGAGTTGTCCAACTGCCAGGATAAATTTGTAAAGTAGGATGGCATTTAGGAGTGGCAGCACCAATGCTGAGTTAGAGGATGAAGATGCCACTCAACAGTCATGGCAGCAAAAGAGCAATGGGAAACCTAAAACCATCCTACCAGTCAGCAACAATGGAACACCATACATCCCAAATATATTGGACATGCATACACCAAAGTTGAAAGATATCATGTGGACTTTCATCACATTTCACTACCATATGTATAACAATGGGAGTGATACCATTCATTGACATGCATTAAAGGGAAGGCCTGTGGGAATTCACAGGTGACTGTTCCATGGAGCATGATAACCACCAACTCCACCCTTTATATTGCACCTAAGTTTCTTCCACCTGACATTCCCTTCAAAGAACTGACTTGACTTACCCAGGACAAGTTGACAGCAATCTTGGAGTAGTGGCAGGAGCATAAGGAGCAGCATCCCAACAATGTATTCTCCTTCAAGAAGTGGTGAGATGCTGGTGAGTCCCTCTGAATGCCAGTGGCAGATGCCAACTGTGGTAGAGTGAGGGTGGGTGCAGGGCAGGTTGTGAATGGGGCCCCAGACCATCTGGCAGGAGAAAGGGCAACTGCTGGATTGATGTGGACTCAGAGGAAGCAGTGGTGGTGCACAGGTATGCAGGCATTCATCTTGAACTCAAATGGTTGGCAATATAATGTAATGGGCACCACAGTTGTAAGTTCAGATTCTGAGGATGAACCCAATCTCCCTTGGTCACCACCAACATTGGTGCCTGATGGCAATAATGGTATGCAAACAACCCTGGTGGATGAAGATGCTGGTGGGCCAGTACAATTCCTGGTGAGCCAAAGGCCAATTGCCAGATCACCTGCAGCTGAGGGTAACACTTACTGGCTGATTGGTAAGCCAGCAGCATTTCATAAGTCAAAAGTTGTCCAATTAACACACACTTGTATTGAAGCAGGCAGGTCCAATGACACTGCCAATCAAACTATGTATCCCACTGGGTGCACTGGTCCATGGTGGCAATGGAACTGGCACTGGCAATATGCCCAATGGTGAGTGTGATATATTGGCATCCATCTGACATTGATGGAGGACATGTTTCAGTCATTGGGGAGGATGGCCCAAATGCCAGGTGGTACATTGTGGCAGGCACTGCAATTGCTGCCTGGTGCCACACACCAAAGGTGTTTGGTGATGTGGACATGGATATAGCTGATGAATGGAGATGAGAGACTAGAGCCCTAAAGTGTAGGAAGATGGCCAGAGGTGTTAGCAGTCATCCTTTGCACAAGAATAAGTTGTCAGTGCCAAAGAAAAAAGGAGGAAGCAAGTTAAGTGCCCATAAAAATTCTTAGTGCCCATGTATCGCATTCCAGTTTTCAATGTATCTCCTCCATTTCCAAAGATACCAACCCCATTCCCACACTCACTTATAGTGCTCAGCCACATGATCCTACCTTCCAAAATTGGAGAGGATCCTTACACTCCACATGTTTCTACAGCACTCCCTTCAACAGATGCTCATTTCACTAATTCCTTTGATATGGCTGCCTCCATGTCAATCATTTCACTTGTCCCCTTCACTAGGGACAATGGCTATGTATATCTACCAGGAATTCCTACCAGCTTCTGCCTTGAAGCATCCTGGTACATCCCATCCTCATCTGCTCCCTCTCAGCCCATCCAGCTTGGACAACATGTTCTCCTTGTCAGTATGACATCCAGAAGGACATTCTTTGGTCACCTCAGGTCTGTCATTCAGCTTGAAAGGTTGTTTCAGTCTCCCCAGTCAATGAAGCATATGGATCCTTCCTCCCTGCTCCCTGCAACATCTTTATACCAATCTCATCCATCATTCTTGCAAAATTGCAACAGCTACAGTATGCTCTACTGTCCTCCAGTCTCCCTGATCACATCCATGATGAATATGATGCACATCTTGCCTTCTTATTGCAAGATACAGCAGAAGATGCCCCCTCCTCATCCTCTCCTCCAACAGAGCCTCATCCATGAAGTATTTATTAACTTCACTGAGAGGACAGAGGGGGGGAATATGTGATCCCCTATGCTCCTGTCACCCCACAGACCCCCAATGCTCAAGTCCTTGGTCACCTGACACCTGCCATCCCTTTATGGATGTAATATATCAGCATCAGATGAGTGCTGCCTCTCTGTCATCCCACTTTGGCCTGGCAGTGATTCCTTTGAGATGTGTCTGACTGTCCTTGACTCACCTATTGCAAATACTTACCAATCTTTTGGCATTGCTTACTGATTTTTCACCTTTTTGCTTATTGATCCTTACCAATCCTTACCAAGTGTTTGTGCCTTGTTTTCTATAGGCTATGCCCCTGTACTGTATATAAATCACTGTACTTACATAGATAGCAAAAAAAAAAAAGACATCAGAGAGCCCCTCTTGCATGCATTTCATTGTCCCTCAGTAATCCATATAGTTGAGACTTTATTAAGGGTCTAACTATCATCGACTTCACCTATCACTGCTTATCATCAATATACTTTGCTCCAAGTCCTCCCTGAGCTCAAAACAGCTTAAGACATTGCATTAAGTCATCATCCATCCTTCTGTAGGCTGATAGCAGTCTACCCCATCGCAATCTCTCACATTCCTGCTCCCCTCTTTGTCAGGAGCACCCCCAACCCTCAGCAATCATCTTTGAGTGTTGTATCTCACAAAAACTGCCCATTTTAGATCTTCTGCCACCCAGGTACCATGGAGGCATGCCACCACTTGCTTCATACTGTCATTTGTGTTGGTTTTGGTTGGTTTTCACCACTGATCCACACTTTGACTCACACCAGCCTATGCTGGAAGGCCAGCACCCTGATTCACCAGATTGTAACAAGCCAGCATGTCCTTTGGCAGTGCTGAAGACTACGAAGAGGGCCCACAAATGGCCAAATTCACAGCACAAGTTTCCCATTCCATCCATGAGTCAGTACTCCTGCCACAATCCCTGAACAGTTGATTAAATTCATCCATCAATTCTAGTACCCACAAACAGCATGGGTGAATATGATGTGATCAGTATGCAGCACTCAAAACAGGTGTGCAAGGTACCAAAGCAGCCTGATGATGATTTTCCCACTCCCAGTCCCTCCAAGAAATGTAGGTGATGTTAGCAGTGTAATTTACATGAGGATGGGATGTGATACTATTTATTGAAAACCTATAGCCACAATTACAATAAGTCCTCATTGAGTTCCAATTCATCTTTGCCATCCCAATCCTTGGTCATCAAATCTTGTATGTATTGCTGAGTCCATGCCAGTTGCACTCTCCTTGCAAGCAAAAGACAAAACCAGATGCTTGATTCCACCAGTATATTGCTGTAGTGATTGTAAGCAGCAATGATCAACCCATCAGTGGTGGTATTAAGAGGGGGCAGGTGCTCATCAGCAGGTCCCAAGAGAAGAACAGCAAGCCACCTTGCTTTTTCCACTGCTGAAAGATCAATATATGTGCATGGGATATTGTAACACAACTCACATGTTGTAATTGGCCCTTTGTCATGAATCCCTTGTATACCCAAATCACTGGCAAAACATTGCAGCACTGAAAAGCACACTAATACACTTATCAATGCCACCAAAAAGCATGATGTAACACTCAATAGCAGTGGCAGAGATGGCTGCCATGATTTGGTCACAATGGGCTGAGTCTCAGCAGTTGGCTCCTCATCAGCCCCCTCATCCATGCATGGATGGTCCTGGGGCAATGGCTGCATAGGCAGAATTGGGGGGGATGCCACTAATGAAATGGGTGTTGGTGAGGCAGCTGTATGTGCCAGCAAAGCTGTTGGCAAATCCCAGCTGGGGGCAATGGCCACCAAGGAAGGCATGGAATGGCTAGTTGGTCAACCCTCCCATTGTCAATCAGTACCAAGGGGCTGCACAGATGGTGACAATGGTGAGGAGTCCCATGAAGGTGCAACCACACATAGTGGGGGTCAGGAAGGGCCAGCCATTGACTGTGATGAGGAGGATGGGGATCTGAGCTGATCGGCCCACACTGCAGCATTGGCAGCTGCTCCAAACAGTAGAAATTCTGGTTCATCCACTGCCATATCTGTGTCATTGAAACCTGGCAATACCTGAGATTTCTTTCATGGGGAGATGACTGGTAATGGTTGGCTGCAGTTGTATGTTATAATGACTACTCACTTCAAGTGACCAGACTGCCCAGTCTCCATCTTACTGACTTTTGATCCATGATATTGGGCAATCCTGATAAGTTGATTGAAATCTTGGTCAATTGGAAAATGTGTTGTAGTAATGTCAGATTTGGTTATTTGAGGTTGTTTGTGTACTAGCCAAGTCTTGATGCTGGCACAATGATTCAGCAAAATATAAAAATGCAGCATGCACCGCCCACACTGTTTTCAACTACCACCTACTGTGTCCCTCTCATCTGACTGAATCCATCTCCCCAACAATATTGTCCCAAGCTGAAGCTGAATCATTGCAATCCCCCACTGCTGCTACCTCCATTGCCCTCCCATGGGAAATAGTCACTAATGCTGCAGACATCATCATGATGGAGCTGTCTGGGCTAGATGCAAACAGGAACTGGCAATATGGGCAAAAGGCAATGAATGTCATCTGGGAACAGCTGGTAAGTGCCCAGCTGATCCATTTATCCTCTAGACTAACACCATCCTAGGGCCATGTGTGCCCGTTGGTTGAAGATCTGCCTTCAAAATTCACCATCCCTACCCACCTCATTGCCACAGAAATGTGGAGGAAAGATTCCACTGAGCTCACCACCTTGAAACAGTGGCCAGATTTTGATAAGATCTGGGATGCAACAGACACTGACATTGTGGATCATCAGTGGTACCAGGTTGGGAGGCCTGTTGCCAATGGTAAAGGGTGAGCAGTCCCATCAGAGCCCCTTCAGATGAGTGGCACTGCCAGTGATGTTGCTAACACTTCAGAAGAACCTTGTCATATGCTAAACAACTCAGTACTCCAGTCCTTGACAGAGGAATGCCAATGGTGCACCAAACACTGATGGTAGCTAGGCTTTCCCTTGATTCCTCTTTCAGTTAGACACTTACACTGCCCTTGCTTGTGCTGAGGCAGTGTCTATCATTTGGACCTCAGTCTAGCTTATATGCAACCTAGGTATCACATAACCTTTAGTACATTCTTGCACATCACTATTTAGTTGTTTACTAGTAACTCTGGACTTCAGGTTACCAGTCCTTGGTATATAAGTCTTAGCTACTCCTGTCCCTAGTCCTCAGTCTGAATATTGAATTAGTCTCCCCTTGATCCACCCAGCCTAAGTTCAAGTTAGCTCTTGGCTTTCACATCTGACCCCCTCAGCTTTCATCCTTTGACTTCAACCCAGCCTGCACAAGAGTCTAGCACACAAGCTAGACTAAGGGTTGTTGCACTCAGCTCTTGGCCTTTGGAACCCCCACCTTGTCTCAGACTTAACAAGCACCCCCAACCCTCAGCACTTGTCTTTGAGTGTTGTAACTTGCAAAAACCCACCTGAATAAGACCTTCCACCATCTAGGTACCACATAGACACACCACCACTTGCTTTCTTTGTCTTTTGTGTTGGTTTTGGTTGGTCTACACCACTGAACTGCACTTTGACTCACACTGAGCCATTTGGTGTGCTCTACCCTGTATCTGTATGCATCTATGGTTTCCTTGACAAGTTCTGCCTTGGCAATTTTGGGAATTGGAATGGGTGTGGTCCAAATGTTTTCTGGACTGTGCAAAACTAAACCATGCCTTCTAGAGACTGTGCAAAAGCTGCATATGCAGTCCAGAGTCTTTCTATCAGTGGTGCAGGAAATCCTGCCACCTGACAAAATCAACTGGATTGCTTAAATCTTGCTGCCACATTTGCCAGCCACATCCTAAAATCTTTGCTTCCTGCCATTCAGTTCTGCCATCACTTCACATGCAAAGAAAGGTCTTTACAAAGGTATCATGATTCTCAGCATCTTCTCTGGCAATCTGACACATTTTGATTCTCAGTGCCTTCATCCTGCTGTCAATCACATTGGAGCAATGCCCACTATGACACCTCAGAATGCACACATTCCAAAACTGCTGGACTACCCTTTACAGTGGAATGGTCTGCTAGAAATTCTGGAATGCAAACAAGACAAAACTATATTGTCAATTCATGAAGTATTGCTTTCCTATGGCAATTTCATAGAAATCAATGCAGAGTTTGACCTCATCCTTGTGTGCACCCATGCCACCAGAATGCACTTGCACATCTTCTTGACTTGCAAGCAAGTGCTACAACTGCAAACAGCCTGAACAGAGCAGGTTCATATCCATCACTGCTACTTCCATCCTCATAACACACTTACAATCTCTTCAGTGTTCTGTTCCCTCCTCTTCACATACAGAGGTAAAACACATGTGTGCCAACACAACAATGCAACATCCCAACCTCATGCTTTTGGAATCAATCCCAAATGAATAGTTTGTTTGTGAAACAATCCTACTGCCCCAGACCCACCATCATCCTTCCTATAGACCATCCCTCAACCCACTTTCTATCATAGATCACTTCCTGCTTTGAAGCTTTATGGAGACTTATCTGCCACAGACATCTCCAACTACATAGAATCATACACTTTCTTTTACACACAAAAAACCTTGTAACATACAAGTCCTGCAATTGTTTGTGTCATGTTGTCTGACTTGAAAGTAGACACCCCACACAATGTCCTACTCCTATTATTCCCCAAAGTCTTCCTGCTATCCCAAAGACATGGCCATTGCTGTTCCACATGCAGTGATGCCCCAACTTCTGCATCAAAGATGAATCCTATCTCTTGCCACTGCTCAGTAGCACATCATTGTCCATAATGGCACTGAAGCAGGATGCACCACCTTCTAAAGATCCCAATGCAACAAAAAAGGTCCAGTCAAATACTTCAGCCCTGCCTGTGTCAATGTCTGTCAGTAGCCAACAGCCAAAAACCAATCCCAAGCTTGTACATTCTTGCACTCCATCAACTGACACCCTTGCCAGCCCTGAAGCCGATGCATCCTCCCAATATAAAGAGCCTGCACCCAGCCCCCCCTCACCAATCACAGCACTGAAAGACACAGCCACCCCCCACCAAACAAGTTCTTCCAGCAGCACCTTTCAAAGTCCTTCTGATGCCAAGCAGACAACAACTGGACCTGCCCTGCCCCAGGAAACAACCTCAAGCACCAGCAATCACCCTAACTCAACTAACCTCCCAACAACCATCAGTACTGTAGCACCCAGTCCACTGTCAAGTGTTCTCAATCCAGAGAAAATGGCTACTTGTCCAGAGTCACTACTGAAGCACTTCAGGTAACCAATTTTCATAAGCATTTAGGCTGAAGTTTTTCTCAAAATCATTCAAGCTAAAAGCCACTCAGGCCAGGTCATCCCAGGGACATCTGGCAATGTCCCAGGGCTATTTGCAGTGTGCAGGACCTGGGATGTCCCACAATCCCAGCCCTTTGGTAATATATTTTGGGCTGTACCATGGCTGCCTTAGGTGTCAGGGGTCCTCAACTGCAAAAGTGCAGCTCACACTCACATTGAAATGCAACTTTCAATCACAAACACATTGCTGTTATGATCATCATCCAGACAATGAGCATACCTATCAAACTGGGGGGATGGATGAAGACATTACCCTTCCAAAAACCACTTACTATAAATATTATGTGATATTTGAAGACTATTGGACAATGAGTGTGTTTGTGTGATGCCATCTGTGGGGTTGTACAATGTGGATGAAGGTGAACCTGTCAATTACTAAAGGTTAATGGATTCAGAATTCCCCCAATAGTACTGTAAGTTCTTGTGTTTGTTACAACAGTCACTCCTTACTAAAATCACTACTTTTGTTTCCAAATTACAGTTGAGGTACATACATATATACATACATAGTATAAAAATGATGCTATTGTGGGGGATGAGCATGTGAGTGCCCCACTGACATAGGATGCCATATGATCTGATTGGCATGGGGAACCACCATTTTACCAAATAACTCCATGGGTTGTTTTATGTTGGGTAAGGCATGGCTTTACTTAAATACCTTGTCTGACTGCTTTTCCCCTCCTCCCCCATCATTCCTGACATGCCTCATGCACCAAAAAGTGTTGACCAAGTCATGGATGACTCTACAGATTTGCACACCCAGGTTCTTGGAAACCACAAAATCCCCTCCACCAGAGGTATGTCATCTTGTCCTCATCAATCCCATCTGACCCCTGCCTTCACAGATCAAAAAAGACAAGCCCAAGCCCTGGCATGCAGTGCAACTGCCTGAAGGATGGGAAGAACATATGTTCATTCTCTGTGACAGGAGGAGATCACTCATTCCTAGTGTCTCTGCACCCTCCCAAAATTCCACTACCCCAATCTTGCAGGAAGACCAGGTCAAGGGCACTCCAATGGAGGAGGATGCTGGTGATGGTAAGACTGAGGCTGAGGAGGTTGAGGTCAATGTTCTGGCTGATGAGGGCAGTCAATGTCCTGATGATGGGGCTAGTCAACTTCCAGATGATGAAGGTTTGTTTTTTTTTTGAATATTTGTCTCATTCTCTCACAGTTCTGTAGATGTTGCATTGTTATATCCTTGACTTCTCTCATGTAACTGTGGGTTTGGTGCCATCATGTGACAATTGGTCATGAAGTTGCATAGGGACACCACATGACTTGGTGGCTCAGGTCATGACAGGTGGTCCCCAGTGAAAACTGTGTAGGTTTGGGTAGGATGTGAGCTGCTCCAGTCAGATTCTGTCAGAATTCATCTGTCAGAATTGGGTGAGATAGGATACTTGCCAACAATTTGATATTGTAACACATTACATTGCCATTGTAATTGTAATGTAATTGTAACACTGTGCGATGTGCATACACTTCATCATACATTGCAACGCATTGCATCTGCCTAACATCACATTACATCATCCTTGTCGCATTGCTAGATTGATGTTGTCAGCTAGCTTGTCTTGTTGATGCTACACAATGCCCAGGTATGTGCTGCTACTTTCCAAAGTATTGCGCCATAGTAGTTAACAGCATGAATCCAAGCTCCCAAGATGCCCAACTCTCCAAGTCCAAACATATATTTCAAGCTCATCGTGCACTAATGCAACATGGCATGGGCCAGGCAGATGTGGCTCGAGGACATGCCAAACAGGCACACTCAATACAGCACAAGGTATGTCTTTTGTAACTTAATAGTTGATTTCATTTCACTATAAAAACTACATGTAGTCAAGCACAGTGACCAGAGCTGATCAGCACATGGAGGAGGTATGTTCCTCCCCTTTCATAACTATAGGTTTTTCAATGAGTTCCCAATTGGTTTACAGGTCCATATACACATGCATCCCTCTGCGTTAGAAGTGGAGCATGGTTGAATGCAATCCCCCTTGGACAACTGTGACCATCATCCAAGGACTCTGACAGAATTCCCCTCAGATGATGGTAACAACCCAGCAGACAACTGTGACCATTGTCCAAGCACTCCCCCATGATTTCCCTCAAATGACCATGACCATGTAGGGTTGTGATCCCCCCATCCACTGGAGTCACCTTGCTGATCACACTCACCTTCCCAGTCCTTTGCTCGTGATCATTGCCCTCCCTCTCACTTAGTCTTTGACACAGATTTGCTGGACCAAGTGGCCATCAACCCAAAGCAGCATGATGCAGTCACATTCATTAAACTTCTCCATACAGCTTCTCTGGATGACCCAGTAGCTAAACTAGACAATGCAGCCCTCTATAGACTATGCAACCCCCCATGCACTCAACTCAAAATAGATGATGACATTTCTCACTTGAACACTCCACAATTTCAGCATATGAATCCATATGACAATCTGCTGCATGCTGTTTCAAATGGAGGGCTGTATCCATCCCAAGCCATTACAACATCAAGAAGCTCATCACCAAATATACTGGAGTCAAGTCAATCAAACATGATATGTGTCCTGATAGTTGTGTGGCCTTCACAGGCCCATACTCTGCACTTGATAAATGTCCTATATGTGAGGAGGATTGCTATGATGCTATCAGACTGCAAGTCAGTGCAGGTTGATCTTGTGTTGCCCACCAGAAATTTGTGATGATACCAGTTGGGCCACAACTCCAAGCCCTTTGGCATGATCCCCAGCAAGTCGAGGAGAGTGGCCATCTACAACAAGAGACAGAGTGGATTTGTGAACAGATCCATAACAATAGCAGCATTATCAATATGTATGATGACTTCTGCAAAGGTATGTGCTCACTTGAGGATGTCCAGTACAGTAATATTAACCACTGTACCAAGGCTCAGACTACCTGGGTGCCATTCAGCAAGGTGACATTAAACTTCAAGACATTGTTCTCATGATTTCCCTCAACAGTGCTTAGCTTTACAAAAGTAAGGAATTGGACTGTTGGATTTACATATGGGTCATCATGAACCATTCCCCAGACAAGCACTACAAGAAGTGGCATGTCCTCCCTGGTGGCTTCATTCCTGGACCTCACAAACCCAAGAACATTGACTCATTCCTTTTCCCTGGCCTGCACCACCTTGCTGCCTTGCAGAACAAAGGACTGATGATCTGGGATGCATGCCATGATGCCATCTTCGTCTTGGATTTATATCTTATCTTTGCAACAGCTGATGGTCCTGGTCTTGTATATTTTGATGGAATGGTGGGGCATAGTGGTCAGAATGGGTGCTGACTCTATTGTGGCCTGCATGGGCGCCACAAAGGCAATCATTATTATCCTGCATTGCTCCTTCCAAACAACTACAACATTGAAGGTAGTAATCATGCTGATTGTAGCCCATACAACCTCCGAGATCCTGATTCAGAGGAGTACTTCCACAATCTACTTCATCTTACCACTGCTCCCAATCCAACTCAGTACAAGAAGCTGTGCATGGAGACTGGCATCACAAAGCCATCCATTCTTCTTGGTCTCAATATGTCTCATATGCTCAGCATTCCTGATTGTCTGACCCCTGATATCATGCATCTTGCAGCTCTACTATCTGACCTCCATTTACCATTATGGTGCAGCACAATCAAGTGTACCCCTCCTGACCATATCTCACAATGGCCATGGGCCATCTTCAAAACTTTAGAGGCATGGGAAACTCATGGTGCTCTCGTTTCATCTGCTGTGCAGTATCATCCCAGGTCCTTCAATCACAAGCCACATAACCCTGCCAAGAAGATTTCATCTGGCTACAAGACATGGGAATTCCAGGCCTATATATTCTACCTTGCACCTGCCCTACCTTATGGAGTCCTTGGCAAGCCTTATTGGTGGAACTTCTGCAAGTTGGTCCATGGATTCCAACTCATATGCCAGAGTAAGATCCCCAACTCTGACCTTTGTGATTCTCATGTACTCCTTACAGAGTGGCCTCTTGATTTCAAGGAACTCTACTGCCAGCAATCTCCTTTCTGACTCCATTTTGTCTGGCTGTGCATACACCAAGTATCTCATTTGACACAGCAGACAGTCAAGAAGGGTCCACCTATCTGTTACTCACAGTGGGTTATGGAATGCACCATCAGAAACTTAGGTCAAGAAATCTGACAGCCATCAAACCCATATGCCAACTTGTCTTGTGAGGGGGTATGGCACTGCCAAGTCAATGTGCTTAAGGCAATGGTGCCCAGTCTGTGCCCTGAAAAGCCACTGTTTCCATCAACCACCATTAAACTAGAAGGTGGATATGTATTGCTCTGCAAGCAAGATGCATGACCCACCTTTCCACAAGGACTTGCCACATCAGCAATTTCACATTATCTAGGCCATGAAGGTAGCATCAAAATACATTGATGGGCACATCTCTGCCTGCCCAATGGGCAGATCATGCAGACAGCATGGAGAGAGCTTCTTCATGAACCAGACCAGATATGCCCTGCTCACTTTGTGAAGGTACTGTAATACACATGTATTTCTTTGACTGTCCTACTTACATCTTGTAGTTTGTGCTTGACCAGATCACATGTGTGGGTGAAGTCCAGTATTTCACCCACCTTGCTGTTCAAAATGAAAACCCAAATATCATGTCTGCTTGGATTTGGAAAAACATTGCCATGATCACGATGTTTTCCTCCCCTGACCCCAACCTACTCAAACTCTCTTATCACACTGTCCATGCTTGCCAACATCAGGAGGAGGATGTGTGCATCATTGACATCAAGTCAATTACTGGTGTCATAGGGATGGTTCCACATCAATTTGCAGGATTAGGGTACCGCTACTCTATGGTCAAGCAGCTGGGTCTAGATATTGCTACATTTGGTGTCCCTTACAAAGGGGAAGGCACTCAGAACAATATGGATGATCACAAGGATGATCACAAGAATGATGGAGTTCCAGTGACATAGTGCACACTTAGACACTACGAGATCAACTTCATGTAACTAATTAGTTCATCATTCACATTGTGTTTCATGCTTAGAATGCACCAGACAATTCACTTGATGAGCATGATAACAAAAAAAGTATTCTGGGCATGTAAAAATACAGTTCATGGTCATTGCAAGTCCTCGAGCTCCTTCTTCCATTGCCAAATCACATTAAACATCTTATCCTGACCTGCACAATCATACCACTTTCCATCTTCCTCTGGCATGATGTACTTCTAGTGAAGGGAGCCAGGAGGTGGGGGACTCAGAGTAGTAAAGATACTTTTGAAAACAGGGACACATGGAGCTGAAACATTGGCAGAGCCAGGCTTAGTTGGAGACAGAGCTGGACAGGGGGTTTGCTCATGCAGTGAGGCTGCTGGAGCCTTGGACTCAGGCTCAGTTGTAGAGCCAGGAGAAGGACACTGTGCCAGAAGAGGAGGATGTGGAGTTTGCATATGCAGTGGAACATCATCAGACTTGGGCTCAGTTGTAGAGCCAGGAGAAGGATGCTGAGCTGGAAGGAGCAGGCAGGGAATTTGCATATGCAGTGGAACTGTTGCAGCCCCAGACTTGGGCTTGGTTGTAGAGCCAGGAGAAGGATGCTGTGCTGGAAGAGGAGGACATGGAGTTTGCATATGCAGTGGAACATCATCAGACTTGGGCTCAGTTGTAGAGCCAGGAGAAGGATGCTGAGCTGGAAGGGGCAGGCAGGGAATTTGCATATGCAGTGGAGCTGCTGCAGCCTCAGACTCAGGCTCAGTTGTAGAGCCAGGAAATGGATGCTGAGCTGGAAGAAGAGGACATGGAGTTTGCATATGCAGTGGAACATCATCAGACTCTGGCTTGGTAGTAGAGCCAGGAGAAGGATGCCACACTTCACAATATGCTGGGTCCTTAGTCAGTGAGGAGTGCTGTGAAGGTAGACAAGGTATCACTTGACATCAAGTTGGACATGGGGTATCAGCTTGAGGAGGAGTGTCACACTTGGTATCAAAACTGGGCCCACATGTTAACAAGGAATAAAATTGAAACTGGGACACTCACACTTTATCTGCCCAATCAGTATTGGAAAGGGCCCCAGGGAGTTGGTAAGGAAGCAAACATTGTATGAGCTGCTCATATTGATAAGGGTGGGAGTGCCAATATTCAGGGTTGAGTAGCTGATCATCAGATGCAGTTAAATGAGGGCTAGTGCTGCTCTCAGTAAGGCTGGGATCACTGAGTACAGCATTGTCAAGGTCAATGTTGTCTGGTATGTCAAAGAAGCACTTGGCAGCTAGAGGTAAGTCCATGTAGAAGTGGAGTCACACAGGCATAACTGCTATCATCCCTTCCATACTTCCCCCCATCTCCTTCCTCCACATGCCACTCACAACAAACATGGATCTGTCATTCTCTGCATCTCAATCAACATTTCAGAATATCCCCAGTATTTTTGACACTCCACTGAGCCCAATGCCAGCTGGATCAAGTTGTCAGCAGCAAATCAACATGCTGAACAAGTCACACTCATTCTCACAAGACATACCATTTTCTCAGGCTTCTCAGGTGTGTCAGAAGATCAAATTATGTTCTTACTTGGCAGAATTGAATGGTTGGGTCATCTGGGGTCTGTATATGCATCATCTAGTCTCAGCACTATCCCAGCTTGGCTTGCCAGCAAATGTTCCACAATCAGACAATCACAATGTATGAAGCAGAGATCAAAAACCTACAACAAAAATTGGTGAAGACTACAGCCAAGCACAATACAATCAAGTACAATACAAGTAAAATTACAATGCTTGTTTACTTGATTCTTTTCAGGGGTGCATTTCAAGCACTGATATCAGTGCTTAAACTCCCAGAGGAGACAGATCCATTGTCTTTTTCACTCACAGACATCAATGTCAACTTCCAGGTGAATACAAATGAATACATGAAGCATTCAAAGGAAGAATACCCTGGATTGTGCTTTTGGGTTAGATTGGACTATGATAGTTTTGCAATGTCTGCAGAAGCCCAAAGCATGGATTGTGGAAAAGCCCCCTGGCTCAAACAACCAAATAGCAACCAAATAACACCTGATCAACTCAGAGTGATCTGTGCCAGCCTCCAATGTGCCTGGGCTGAGTTTGTGCAACACAAAATTGCACCACAAACATGGACAAAGGTCAGTGTGTCAGCAAAAGTGCTTGTCTACAAGATTATGGTCAAGGAACACCCCCTCATCAGACTCAATGGAGACAGTTTCAAGCTAGAAATGCTATGTGTAAACAACTACTCTGGCTGGTGGAAGAATCATCTGGGACTGAATGGCAAGTGGAAGGAACCTTCATCAAACAAGGCCAAACCAAAAGAAGAGTCGAAGTTGGAATATCTTGATACCATGCTGCCTATGGATACTAAAGGTAAAAAGCATGAGAGTGATACCCAGCCAGTCCATGGGCCCACTAAGTGGTGTAAAAGTCAGTTCATCATTCTCTGCACATTTTGCTACTGATAATCTTACTTGGAGATTCAACAATGGGAACCATGGGAGGGTCACAGCATGTGGAGTGGCTGGCAAATGCCATTCCAACAGGTAATGTATTCAATATTTACAGGCTTGTGAAACATGGGAAGACTGTCTTGCCTCAGATCCTGCCCATACAAACCACAAGGTGCTGCTCTGTCCTCCAGCTTGAGACCAAAC